CCCTCAAAAAATGAAAAGTGTGGGTTTGAAAGGATATCTGCACAATCAGATTCATAGTGGCATTACTCACAGTAGTCAAAAGGTGGAAAGGATCCAAACACCTGCTAACAGATACACAATCAAAATGCGGTACATATTCACGAGGGAGTATTAGTCGGTCTTCAAAAGGAAAGAGATACTGTCATATAAGACAGCATGGATAAAAACATCATCACAAGATGCTAAATGAAGTAAACCAATTACAGAACCACAAGTACTATTTTATTTCATTTATATGTAGTATCTAAAATGTCAGGTTTGTAGACAGAAGATAGAAGGGTGGCTGTCAGGCAGAGGGAGAGGAGAATGAGAGTTGACGTTTAAAGAGTATAGCATTTCAGATGGAAAAGTTCTGGAGACCCACTGTTCAGCGATACGAAGCACAACACCACTCAATAGCTACATCAAAATGGCGAAGGTGGCAAATTCTGTGCTACTGTTTTAAGCCACAGTTTTTAAAAGTGGCAGAATATGCATTTGTATATATAGGTACCCGCATGTAGTGTGTGTGTGTGTGTGTGTGTGTGTGTGTGTGTTTGTGTGTGTCTCCACACACACATATCTTAAACTGGTTAATGATTTAAAGATTTCAAAATCCCATAACATAAATGATAAAAAGAGGCACCTGTAGGGCCAAGTGGTAGCCTTTAAACATCTGGGGAGCTGATCCCCTGCCGCATCCATGCTCCCTGATTCTCATTTCAGCATCTGAGTCATTCTGCAACTGCAGTCTCCGAACTGTTGTATTTCACGAAGCAACTGTGTCTCATAAGAGATGAACACTCTCCCGCTTCCCACCCTAGAGGTGGAAATGCCCAACAATGCAGTTCATTTCCCCAGCAACTCTGCTGCTGCCTTTCGTGATCAAATGCCTCATCTTAATTTGAAGCTTCGATTTTCCTGTTTTCAAATGGGTTCCTTGAAGACAGTTAAAGTCTGCCTTTCTGACCTCAGACTTGAAAAGAGCAAGGGTGTAGCTGTGCAGGAAGAGCTATAGAATTTGAGTTCATGGTGGCTGTGATCTCAGCATTGGTGAGCCTAGGTTCTGGTGAAGAATTCTGATATATACTCCTTTTGAAATGAAATTACTAAAACCACTATCAATCACAATTTACTACAAGTGAAGTACCTGGGATTATAGTACCTTACAGTTAAAGGAGACCAAATGATCCCACATTTTTAAATCAGCAACAAATGACTCTTCTGCATAAAGCAAAAATGTTTCCTAGCATGTGTGCAGAGATGTGCCTAGCACTAAGAAGGGCCTGGGGACATATCTGTTCACAAAGAGATTTCTTGTTCTCTAGTCATCTTGTACTGTAACTGCGCTAGTTTAGCCTCATCTATAGCAGCCAAAGGCTGAATTTCTTATTCATGGTGTTTCTTCCTCCTCCTACCCCCAAGTAGGCACTTAGTTGACTGATTATAGAATCATAAGGTTGGTTATAATTCCATTTCTCCTTCTGACTTTGAACTTAAATGTTCCAATTACTTTGCCCAATCCTAATAAGTCAGCAGCGTGCTAATGCTTGCCTTGATATTTCTGAAATATACAGGGCTGCGATTAGCATGGGACTGCATCATTAGAAAGCAAAGTTGAAAGCAGATGAGCAAAATCATCACTTGTGTTTAAGTAAAACTGTCTGTTCTGAGGACTTACAGTGTTGCTGGGATCCAGAGACACCCTGTGCTGTGACTAAATATATATTATACTTGGAAAATCTTCTGACGTTCTAGAATCTTCTGGTTCTGGCCATTACTGGAAGAGAAAAGATCCTAGAAGGACAGCCCCATTCTAATACACAGTGATGGCTCCTCAAGCAGACAGCTAAGACACAAAGAATCTTTATCTCACAAAGAGAGTGGGGAGAGAAGAGAGAGAAGAGGGAGGGTAGGAAGGAAAAAGGAAAAACTTTATTCAGTTCTGCTAGATTAGAACTGATATCTCTAAGCCAGTGAGAAGGCTTTGCAGTAAGCTTTCAGGAGGAAAAAGAAAAGTGGCCATGCACACACAACACAACCGAGGTACTAAAAACTACATTAGCGTCGATAGTGTTAGTGAGTCTACCAGAAAAGAAATTAACTCCTTTCTATCTGTAAGTTGCCAGAAATTGCATAAACTTGTGAAAACCAGTTAAGGGACAAAAGGAAATACTTTACACTAGGAATGATCTGCAGTCAAATCAATTGATAAATAGAAGGGAAAGAAAGATGGTATAACTGAAATTGATGCCAAAGATTTATAAGGTTGACTAAGTAAACAAAAACGGAATGGATCACCACGGAAATGCATGAATATTGAAATAGGCAAGATTTGAATAGACTAATGATATGCCTCACTTAGACTGACAGGTGTTGATAGCAACTGTGACACTCCATCTATACCAACATCCACACTTCTAACATGTTTATTCCTAGAAAATAGGGTCTGGATCTAATGGTTCCTTGAGTAGTAGCTTATTCACAAAATGTATCTTCTAAAGTTAAAAGACACGGACTTAATTCTCATCTACCTGAGAAATCAAAACACACAAAAAAGGTTTTATGCATTTGCTTTCTGGATATGAGGAGCCAGTCAGCAGAAGTCATTCTCTTGGGCTTCCTGGTCTTTGTTCTAACAAACCTTTCACAAAACTGAATTCTGGTCTGGCTTATCTCCCACACTGAGTATTTGTAGTAAGCCCACTAATCATTAGAAACACAACCAAAGAGACTCAACATTAGGTTCCCACCCCCACCACATATGGATGAAACCAATAACCCTTAATCTATTTGTTTCCATGACTACCATACGATATTTTATTTCAGCGAAACTCTAGGTATTTTGTTTGGATTGTTGCTTGCAAATGAAAGTTGGAGACCTGTACGTTTCCATTAACTGGAGTAACGATGGAGAGACTGAACCAAAGACAATGTTTTCCTTAATCATGGACAAATAAGATGCTTGTGCAGAAAAGTTATTAAAATTGGTTAAATGCATCAGCCCATAAGCCAACTTAAATGTCATTAAATTCATATAGCCTTTTAGGGCACACATGCTATTAATTTTCTGATTTGTAGCAAGGAGATAAATCTCATGCACTCCAGAACAGTATATGGGGCTATATACAGCATGGCCCACTGCTTCATACCTGTAGGAACACATGGACGGCAATTAATCAAATGCATGGTGTCAACCAGCCCTTAAAGTATTCTGTGCTTACCAGATATGTGTCTGGGATGAACATCGATACAGTTGTTCAACACCCGCCCCCCCCAGTGAAAAATAATTAAAAAGTTAGCTCTCCACCTCCCCCCTTAATTTTAATTTTTAAGTCAGGAATGAGGTGGGCTAATTAAATCTGCTGTCATTCATGCTAAACGTAAAGAATTTCTCGAATCTGCCCTCCCCTGGCTGAGTGAGCAGTGAGACCATGCGGCAAGGGAAGAAACTGTGGTGACTAGACAAATGACTTTAAAGAGACTGAAATTAGGGTAAATACAGCTGTAACCAGGACAGATCTGTCATTTCGAGAGGAGTCCGAATCCCAGCGTTGCTCGGCTGAGGAGGGGCTGGAGCCTGCAGCGGCGGAGCCTGAACGTCCCAGAGCTGGTGAGTGGAAGTTTCCCGGGCAGCCGCAGCTCGGCGTCCTCCACGTCTAGTGCCTCTGGCTTAGAGGTCTTGCCTAATGCTACATAAATATCTGCGCTCACGATTCGCCCCGGGCTCGCCGCGTCGCCAACACCACAGGGACAGAGAAGACGCTTCGCAGAGCAGCGCGGGTGGCAGCGGCGGCAGCTCCTCGCCCATCACCATACCCGGAGACTCGCGGGAGGATGTGCCAACTGACCGCGTCTGCTTTTCGGTTCCAGAGCGCAAGGACGACAACTGGCATCTCAGCAGGCGGACCCAGGCATCCGAGACTCCCGCTTCGCCACCGCCCCCTCCGCGGAGAACGCCGGCCGCAGGCAGGCAGGCGGTGCACCTCCGCCTTCCCCAGGCAACACACAGCCGACCTGCCTGGGGAGACGCCTTGGACCGAACCTGGACGTTTGGCTCCGCCATCCCGACTGAAGCGAGCACGACTCTCTCCCTTGGGGCCTGGGGCGGATGCTGCCCAGCGCGGGCACTCGCGCGACCGCAGATAACCCTAGTGCTTTCGGTCAGTTCCAGACTACGGAGACCGGACATGAGCCCGCGACCAGTCCGCACCGCCGGTGGCAGTCCCGGGCGCGCGGCCACACTCCCACCTACGTGTCTCCAGGTCTACTATCCCATACACAAACAACCCCTCCCCACCCGCCACCTCCTTCGCCTCTCCGAAGCTCTCCTCCCACACCCCCATACGCTGAAAACCACAAGGTGTCAAGGGAATGGGGGGGAGGGTCACAACAAGGTCTGTGTGGGTTCCATCCAGACGGTTTTCAAGCTTTTCTACCTTGAAAGTTACTTGGGATCCGATGAAGAAACCCGGTCCCCAAATGCTGGATCTGAGGACGCAAGGGGGCAGACTCTCCACCCCCAAGCTGGCTCCCCTGTGCACACTGGCACGAATCTCCCTAGAGGGCAGGGCTCACGGCCGCCCTGGGGACCAGCCCTCCAACGTCTCCTGGCCCCCAGGACGGCTTGGGGCCCTGGGCCGCGCACAGGGAGGTGGCACTGCCATACCCGGCCCAGGGCTTCCCCGCTCGGAGGTCACACTCGTTTCTAGCCCCTCTAACTACCGCCACAGTCCCCCAAGCAGACCCCTGAATAACACACCCGGAGGCAGGAAGTTTTTCCCCCGTTTTTTCCATCCCCAGAGCAGCGCAGGCGCAAGGGCTTCTGCAGGCTCGCGAGTCCAGCAGCCGCCGCTGCCGGAGCCGAGCCCAGCGTTCCGGGTTCCCGGGCCCTGTTTCCAAGTCCTGCTCGGCCCAGCAGCTCTCAGGACCCTGGGGCCCCGCGCCGCATCCTAAGAGCCCCAACCCGATCCCGCTCTTACCTGCGGCCGCGCCGTTCCGGCCCCGGCCCGACGCGCAGAGAGCCCAGGGTCGCGGATGGGCGCAGGAGGGCTGATGGATGGGGCACAGCGCCGGCGGGTAGCGGTAGCTGGGGCCGCTCGCGTCCTGGCCGGGAGAAACGGATCCAGGTCCACCTCCTCGCGTTCCTGCTCTCCGCCTTCTCTCCCTTCTCCTCCTCCTCCGCCGCCGCCTCCCGGCAGCCCAGGGAGGATGCCCGGGAGAAGGAAGTCAGACCTTCCGCCTGTCAGCCTGTGCGGCTATGCGCGGTGCGGCGTGGCTCTCATCGAGGCGGCGGCGGTGGCTGCGGCTCCGGCAGCATCGCCCCCGCCCTCTCCCCGCAGCCGCGGCGGCCGCGGGGCTGGGGCTGGCTCCCGGCTTGGGGCGCGGGCTCCGCTTAGGCTCGGCGGTCGCCGCGGTTGAGAACGGGCGCTGCGGAGCCGGGGCCGGGGCTGGAGCTGCGGCTGGATCGGCGGTGGCGGGGACAGAGGCAGCGGCGGCGGCGCGGGGGTTGGCGCGGCCGCTGCGCGGGGACCATGCTCCCTTCTGGCTCGCTCCGCTCCGGGTACAGTCTGCTTTAGCTGCGAGGGAGGCGGGCTTCGGCGCGCAGCCAGGGGCGGACGGAGCCAATCACTGGCGCCCGAGTGGGCGGGGGCGCAGGGTAGGAGAGGCGGGGCGCCCCCGGCTCTGTACGGCACTGGGCTCCCGGGGCCCGAGGGATCCCCGGCAGCAGCGCGCTGGGCCCCGGCAGAGTGCCGGCGACTGTGTCCATCCGTCTATCCGCCGCCCCCGCCCCCTGCGGTGACTCCCTGCTCGCCGTGCTCTGCGACAGCGCCCGGCAAACGCACGGCGCGTGGCGGGGCTGCTGGGCCACGGCCTCCGGACTCCGTGGGCCCAGGGTTGGAGGATCCCGACCGAAGCGCTTTTGCCTTCTGGTCTCAACACCTGAAGAAACTGGTAGAAAAGTTTGGGAAAGAAAAGTCCAATATTTTTTCCGCTTCCTCCCTGCTTCTGACTCTCCAGTCATGGGAAAGAGCAGGAAATGTCCCTGTCTCAGAAGGCCAGTCCTGGCCACTTCCATCTGCCCTGACTCCTGAGCAAAGACGCGCTCTCCTACTCACACCGACCTTCCTGGGGCCTTACTGCTTACACTGACTTTCTGGTCCAAGCCCTGCCAGCTCTCTCAAGGTCCACACGGACTTTTCAGTCTATCTCCTCTTCCTCTGCATGCTGTCCACGCAGATCCTAACTGCGACACTAAAGGGAAAGTTTGGCTGGAGACCTGTGGCACCCCAACGTGGGCTTTTTCATCCATTAGAACATTTGCTTCTGCGCCAGTCTTCCCTCCATTGCTAACTCTGCAGGTCTGTTTCTCGTTCCCAGACTTGGTTTTGAGTTTCAGAGGAAACGCCTGTCCTCCCGCCTCAGTACCCCACCATCCTCCACACCAGTTTGAAGGTTAGGGTTGGTGGACCTTATCTTCATTCTCCACTTCCCTCCGTTTCATCCCCACCCCGATCCCTCAGGAAAGCACCCTGAGGCTAGGGTCTGGTTAGAAATTGCAGATGCAGTAGGGGAAGGCCGGCCTGGGGAGGCCTTGCCAAGGCTTCACTCCTGCCTATCAAGGAAGGGAGAGGACTTGTCAGCGAACCCTTCTCTCACCATCCTCCTGTGATGTCAGATCCGCAGCTCTGCTGTCTTGGCTGTAAGCTCAGTGCAGGGGTTGTGTCTCCTTTAATATCTTGTAGGAAACACAGTACAGTGCCATGGCTGATAAATAATAAATAATAGTGGTCTACTGAGGGTAGCGAGAGGACTGTCAGTGAGAAGGAATGAAGACACCAGGGAAATGGCCCATTGGTGTTAGAATAACTGCATTTCCTGGGGAAATCAGACGTTTGGTGTATGAAGCCTGGAGCGGCGGGGGGGAGGGGGTGGCCCTGCAGAGCGGTTTTTCAGAGGAATCTATGGGTGATGATAGGACATCCAGGGAAACTAGTGTGACATTAAGACAGTGACAGAGGCGTCTTGAAGAGAGAGGGTGGAAGTTTGGGGGAGAAGAGTTCCCAAAGGTCCTCAGACTACACCTGGAGGTGAATAATACACATGATTTGAATACTAAGTTTGTGAGATGGTGAATGAGGTGATAGAAGTAGATAGTAGGGGGGCTGGAGAGATGGCTCAGCGGTTAAGAGCACTGACTGCTCTTGCAGAGAACCTGGGTTTGATTCCCAGCACCCACATGATGGCTACCTACCGTCCTTAACTCCAATTCCAGGGGAATCTGAAGCCTTCTTCTGACCCCCATGGCATTGCACGACACGGGTACACTCACATACATGCAGGCAATACACTCATACACATAAAATAAAAATAATAAATAAAATATTTTTTTTAAAAAAGATAGTAGGAAGGAAAGGTGGGGATGACTTGGGATTTAAAATAGATGCACGGGCAATATCTCAAGCAACTCAGTGCAAACAGGAGAACAAAGCCACAGGCCTAAGTCAATCCTATAGGAAATTGTCCTCTGAGATGATGTGCATGTGCCCACCAACAGCAACATACAGGGGTTCTGGCTGCTTTCTGAGCAGCTTTCTGTACGACAGCTGAAGGTATTACAGAATATGACCCAGGCTTGCAGGGTCTCAAATAGGTCAAAATCCGGCCGTTTAGGTATGCACATGTCTTACCAATAGTTTTGCTTGGACGCTCCTCAAGTGAATGAAGAAAATGTACACTCCAGGAATCCTTCCTGACTCCTTTAGGTGCCTCTAGGTGGAAGGGGTCTCCCTGTTACCCTGTTAGCATTGTTAGGGAAGAGAGGCAGATTGGAATTCTCATTCAGAAGACTTTCCTTGGGCATGACAGTGCCAAGGGTGAAGAGTCTGGAGTGCTGCAGAATCTCTGGAGTTTGGAGCTTCATAATTGCCCACCAGAGGGTCAGCTTGCCCGACAGAATGAGATGAGCGGTATGAATTAGAATCACTATGGGCCTGTCTGCACATTCCTTACCTGACCCTCTTTTCATCTGACCCTGAATGCAATTGGGATTTCTAGAAACCACATCTTCTGTGGAATTCTGTCCATCTAGGAGCTATTTGCTGTGAAGCTTGCTGTTTACGCAAAGGTCTGCCCTGGTCTTCACCTGAACTCTGTTTCATCTGAATCATTGTAGTCCATGTTGTTACTCTCAGTCCACCTGGGGGCTTGGATCTCCTATCTGCATAGATCTCATTTGTGTCTAGATCTCTTCTGGGATGCTCCTTCTCCAGCTCTGTGTTCTCTGGGACATCCTCCACATTTGTCATTGATCTTACTGCACAGTACTTGGGACTTGTTGGTTGTTTCACACGGGAATCTCCTTGGCCATAGTCAAGGATTTCTCCATTAGCTCTGTGGGGTGCACTCACTCCTTCCTGTCCTGAATCCCAAGCTGGGCTGTACAATTAGGATTGATATGAATGCTCCAAGTGGATGAGTTATAGAAAAGAGGATTCATAATTCAAGGGGAAGTGTACTAGAACATTCCAGAGCATTCGTTTCCTACTAAGAGCATAGGCTATTCTTTGCATAGCCCAGCAGACAAGGGCTTTGTGCTGGAAAGTCCCTACTCTCATCTACAGAAAGCAACATCAGGACAGTCAGGGAGTCATGCATACCCTCTGTGCCAGGATGTATTGTTTGTATCTCCCATCGTTTGCATTTATAGCAACAACTACAGAGGCACAATTATTTACCTGGTGACTGCTGCATGCCGACCAATCTACTAGATTCTCCCATCACATCTTATCAGTGGTCACAACAACCTGTAGAACTGATATTATCATCCGCTTAAACTGAGTCCCAGATAGCGTAGGGTGAGCTCCTGGAGGAGGTACAGCAAGCAGGTAGCAGAACTAGAATTTCAGCCTGGTTGTTTCCAAAGCCTTTTTTTTTTTTTTTTTCCTACACTCAAAATACCAATGCAATTTCTTTTGTCATTAGCCCAGCATTTTTCCCTTGCAGTGGACACCATGGATGGTGACTTTTGCCTTTATCCACAACCGGTCCTGAACCCAGAACTGGAAACAGTTTTAGAATACAGAGTACCCACGTAAAAGAGGGGAAAGCATCTCTTTGATTAGTGAAGCATGGGTCACTTGGAAGGGTTGAGGCCTCATCAGAACCCTCTGGTTTGATAAGACATCTGTTTCTAGGACCCCAGTGGACATAAACAGAGCAGTTGCCAGCCTCTGTGCTGGCTGGAGTTTTGTGCTTCTAACGCAAACGTGTTTTTCTAATGTACTGCTCCACTAAAACTACACCTATTTGGCATCAGAAGCATTAATAAATCCTACATAGCTCACTATCCCTCCAGTGGCTAAATCAATCCACAAAAATCTGTTTAGCACCTACTGTGTGTTCAACAATTCAACCCTACAACATTGATTGAAACAGGAAGTAAGAAGTCACAACTGCTGAATTCTCCCTGGGGTCACCCTGCTCTGAGATGTATCACAAAGGCACATGCCAATCATTGAATCAGCCGTTCACTGAGAGCCTGCTTCATGCTCAGTCCTGAGCTGGGGACTGTCGCAGAGTAAGATGGTTGATACTCACTATTTTCAGCCTGCTTATTTCCCCCAAAGGGGTTGAGGCAGCTGAATAACATTCTTGCCTTGTTCTTGACAAAGGTTAACATAACAGCAGTGTTACCAAGAAATAGAACTTAGGTCTCAGCTGTGGTGAGGAGACTCCACGTGTGAGGGAATGTCTACAAAATTGAGGCTGGTCAGGATGGTTTCTTGGAAGGGGCAGGTTTTAGAGTGGAGCTGATGTAAGAGAACAGGCAGGGTTGGAGGACTGGGGAGAGGTAAGGCCTCCAAGAGATCAGGAGTGGTAGGACCACTGAATTAGGGGACTGAGTGCAGTAAGAGTTTCTGAAGCATGCCTCCTTGTTAACAGCTATTTCTTTTGGGTGAAAATGAAAGTCTAATTCCTTTCTTTGAAATATTAGGTTCTAAGACTCAGAATGGAGCTGATGGTGTCTTTTTTAGGATTCTCAATGGCAGGAATTCAGCACCTTTTTTAGTACCACTTGTTTGCAGGTGGCAGGAGTGCTAATTAGGCAGAGCCACTAACAATTTTCCTGGGTGGCTCTGACTCCCAAACTGGCAGGAGACACAGCTTGGGTGTTTCTGAGATCAGCTTCTGCACACCTCATTGATACCGAGATGCTCCATCTAAGGGGGTTGGAGGAATTTCATAGCTGTTCAGAATGTATTTGTAAGTTAATGAAATATTTATAGTGATCAAACTTCCATTTTTACTTTTCAATGTTTCAGAAGAGACCAGTGTCTCTCTATGAGAGAGTATAAAAATAAAACCCAAATGATTGGTAGGGTATGGGAAGGGAAATTTAATTGCATTTTAGAGGATTCACTCACTAAGACATGTTCACTAAGGATGAAATTCAGGAAACTTTTGAGAGAGGATTGAGCTCTCACGGCTTCTGGCATTTCTGAGCTGTTTTTAAGAATAAAGAGGCGGTGTGCATGCCTGGCCCTCTGCTGTACTCCAGCATCATTGATG